GGCAGAAGGATTGCTTGAGCCCAGGAGTTTGAGGTTGCTGTGAGCTAGGCTGACGCCACGGCACTCACTCTAGCCAGGGCAACAAAGCGACACTCTGTCTCAAAAAAAAAATAAAAAAAAAAGAGCTGCCTTCTTATTTGTAAGATTCACACTAGCATCAGGGTTAACTGCTCTTATTTTCCTTAATACTTACCCTGTGCCAGGCACTGTGCATACATTGTTGTAGTCAACCTCATGATGGTGGTAAGAAGCAAGAAGCATCAGGTAAAACACAATCCTAAGAATGGAAACAAACCCCTAAGGCCTCTTACATGTAACAGCGCAGCGGGCGATACGTGGACACCAGGACGTACAAGCGCAGATCAAACTTCCTCCCACCAATTAGTAACGGGTTGTTAATGTAGAGAGAGATCACGTAGGCTTCTTTAGTAGACTGAGACACAAACCTGACCATCAGAGAGAAGTCAAAATTAGATGGTAAAAGATAAGACGTCAAAGACGCAATCCATGAAAGAAAGAATGGACAAGCTAGACTGCATTAAAATTAAAAATTTCTGCTCTGAAAAAGACACTGTCAAGAAAATAAAAAGACAAGCCACACAGACTGGGAGGAAATATCTGCAAAAGATATATCTGATAAAGGACCGTTATCCCAAATATACAAAGAACCCTTAAAATTCAACAGTAAGAAAACAAAACACCATTAAAAAGTGGGCCAAAGACCTTAACAGACACCTCGCTAAAAAAGATACACAGATGGCAATTAGGCCTACGAAAGATGCTCCACTTCATACATCAGGGAAGTGCAAATTGAAACGACAATGAGACACACCACACACCTATGATATGCCCAAAATTCAGAACAATGACAACGCCAAGCGCTGGCGAGGATGTGGAGCAACAGGAGCTGCCATTCATTGCCGGTGGGAATGCGCAATGGTCCAGCCGCTTGGAAAACAACTTGGCAGTTTCTCACAAAACTAGACATACTCTTACCATACGATCTGGCAATCACACAACGGAGCTGCAAAACTTACGTCCACACAAAAACCTGCACAAGGATGTTTACAGCAGCTTTACTCATAATTGCCCAAACTTGGAAGCAACCAAGATGTCCTTCAGTAGGTGAGTGGATAAACTGTGGTACACCCAGACAACTGAACACTATTCAGTGCTAAAAAGAGATGAGCTATCAAGCTATGAAATACACGGAGGAACCTTAAATGCACATCACTAAATGAAAGAAGCCAATCTGAAAAGGCTGCGTACTGCATGATTCCAACTATATGACGTTCTGGAAAAGGCTAAACTACGGAAACAGTAAAAAGACCAACGGTTGCCAGAATTAGGGGGAAGGAGGGATGAACAGGCAGATCACAGGGGATTTTCAAGGCAGTGAAGCTGCTCTGTATGATACCGTAATGGTGAGTACCTGTTGCTATGTGTTTGTCCCAGCTCAAAGAATGGACAACACCAAGAGAGAACCCCAATACATAAATACCAGCTTCGGGTGACAATGTGTCAATGTCGGTCGATCAATCTGTAACAAATATACACTCTGGCGGGGGATGCTGATCACGGGGAGACTGTGCACATGTGGGGAAGGGCACGTGGGAACTCTCTGTACCTTTTGTTCAATTCTGCAGTGAACCTAGAACTGCTCTAAAAAATAAAGTCAATTAAGAAAAATTGATAGTAAAGACCAAAGGTGTATTTATTTGGCTGGTAACAAGCTCCTTTCCTCTCACTAAGTGAAAGGCTGGTTTACCAGGGAGGAAACGGGGGTGAGGTGGTAGCCACAGGGGATAGCGGCCAGGGGACAGTGCCAGCAGCTGCAGGACGGCCTCTGGGAGCCCATTCAGGGAAGTACTCCCTGGGCCTGACTATCTGGGGGTAGTAGAGTGTAATGTACTACACCATGAGAGGGCGCCCCTGTCACCCTGGGAACTCCTAACAGGTAAGTCATCTGCCCCACTGGGAAAGGCTCACACCGAGGCTTTGCTCCAGCGGCCCCTGGGCACCGCCAAGCAGCTAAGGAAACTGCAGGGGCAGAGAGGAGCCAGCAAACCCAGGAGGACACTGGACCCGACCTGCAGACTAGTGCACAAGGACAGTGACCTGCCGCTCGCTGGGGTATGCCTGGCCCCCGCCACATGCTTTATGCCTGTGAGCTCACTCCACCCCACAACTCCATGACGGTGCTACTGGTGCCCCCAGTTTACCCAGATGAAGAATGTGACACACTGAGAGTCTAAAAAGCAAGATGTATTGAGCCAGTAAGTGTCAGACTGGGATTCAAACCCGGGACCCCCAGGCCCCGAGCCCCCAGGACTTGAGCACACGCCTTGCTGCCTCAGAACTCCTGCGAATGAGCGGGTCCCACGCCAGCTCATGAGTAGAGAGCCTGCAAGGCCCCTGCCGGCGACCCACTCCCATGGCCCTCTCAACTAACCTCGGCAGAGTCTGTGATTAATCACACTAGTACACAGCCACAGAGCCCTGCTACGACACCACGTGACAAGTGACGCACACCTCTAAGAGCGAGGGCCACCCAGCTCATGGCCAAAGACTGCAGAATGGCATGGAACCGCTAACTGGGACCCAGCACGCAGGTTGGGTGGCTTCCCACACTCACGAAGACGTCTTGCTGTCCCGAGACCACTTTTTGATCTGTGAGAGCTTGTTGATAAGAAAGATGCCCTTTCCCTGGGCTTTGCCACAAGGCTTCATGATCCAGGTGCTGGACGGGCTCTTCCTGAACTCCTCCACGAACAGGTTGTAGTCGGCGGGCAGCATGTAGGTGACCGGAACGAAGTCTGAAAGGTAAACACACCCAGCGCTGGTGATCAGCCAGCCCGACAGCGGCATGAACAGAAAACGCTGCACTGCCTTTTCAGGGGCTGCTTCCTCGGCCCCCCATGCACACGCCCAGCATCTACCGATCAAGGAGGTCTCATACTAACAGGTTACCTTTATCGAGCTCTGCGTGCTCTGAGCACTTTACGAACCTGTTTTATTTAACCCCCACAGCCACCTGTGAGCTAGGCACTGCCATTCCCATTTAGCAGATGAGGAAACCAAGGCCCAGACAGGTCAGTTACATAATTCCGCCCAGCTATGTGAAGGGATTCTGGCATCAACCAGCAGTCCAGCTTTTATCACCAGATGGCACAGGGACACACCGTCCCTGTGTATGGCTAGACGCATGCTGACCCCTTGTGGCAGTGTGTGGCTCTGGAAGTGTCACCCACGAAGCACATCCATTCCCCAAGCACCCACGGAAACTCAGATTCTAAACTTGAGCCCTGCCGCGCCCCAGTTTCTGGAGATGTCTGGAACGAGACAAGTGCCCCCCACACCCTGCACAGACACGCTCACAACTAAAACCGTGAGGCCAGTGAAAGAGGCACAAACCCAGGTAGAGGTATTTTCCATTTTCATCCTTTTCTGCCAGCGGACTCCCTTCCTTCTCTAGCTCCTTCCTGTATCTTTTAATGTTCTTCACCATCAGATCCTTGCGGGTCAGTTCATAGTGGTTCGGGAAGTGGTTGACTATTTGATCATCTGAGAGCCGATATCCGGTTTCAACGCTGAACACATTTCGGATGGTTTGCACGCTCATCCTGAAAGAAGCACAGAGAGTGTGTGCAGGGTGAAGCCCGGCGGCGACGTCCATGTGGTGGCGGTGCCCGTCACGGCCCCTCGAACGCTGACCAGCAGGCCCACGCCCTCAGCGCCCTTACCCGCTACTCCCTCAACGGCCCGAGCAGCACGGAACACTCATGCAGGGACTGACGTGACCTGTGTGTGGGGCAGGAGCTGTTTTGATTCTGCACCCAGAACAGTTTCACTCTCTGGCCCGGAGGAGGTGCTCAATAAATGCTTATTGATTAGTGACAACATTACTGATAATGTAATGAACCAAACAAATGAATGAAAAGACAGACCCCTTTGACTCTGAAATTAGGAAACTCACTTATGTAATATTTGCACCCAAATTCAGGAAGTTCAAGGACCCCTGAAAACCAAAATCACAGAGGTTATTTAAGGGCTCTGAGTCAGCGCTCCATGTTCTTGAAGAGCTTCCTGGGGATGGGGACGACAGAGTTGAAAGAGAAACGGATTCTTTCCAAGCCTCTAAGAAAGCCACCACCTCCCTGCCATACCCTTTCCCTCACCAGCCCCACAGATGGACAGGGAAGGAGTATGGAGGAGGGGCAGGCTGGCCCTACAGGGAGCCAATGAGTCACAGAACAAGGCAGGTTGCCACCTGGCCTCTTGGCTGTGGTCCCTGTCCTCCCCAACCCTACTCCCACCCAACAGCACCACTCAAAAGAGGGTGCCCAGAACACCCAAAGGGTTTCTTTGGATTCCGTGATCATTAGAATAAAGGTAATCTGGCTGGGCACGGTGGCTTACACCCATAATTCTAGCACTTTGGGAGGCCAAGGCAGGAGCATCACTTGAACTCAGGAGTCCCAGACTAGCCTGAGCAACATAGCAAGACCCTGTCTCTACAAAAAAATTTTTAAAAACTTAGCCCGGCGTGGTGGTGCATGCCTATACTCCCAGCTACTCAGGAGGCTGAGGCAGGAGTATTGCTTGAGGCCAAGAGTTTGAGGCTACAGTGAACTATGATGATGCCACTGTACTCCAGCCCAGGCAACAGAGTGAGACCCTGTCTCAAAAAAAAACAATAAAGGGAATCTTTTTTGACTTTTTATTATGGAAAAGCTCAACCACACACAAGAGTAGAGAGAGAGCGTAAGGGAACCCCTTTCCCCAGCACCGCCGGTCCTGCTGTACTCTGCTCCCAGCACTGGCTTTTTCTGAAACAATCCCCAGACACCATATCGTTTCATCCAAAATACTTCTAACAGTTCAAGACTCCTTTTCACATTATCTGATATCCTGATTTATATTGTCACAATTAAAAAGAATAGCAATAATTCTTGAATATCATCAAATATTAATTTGTGTTCAGATTTCCCTAATTGTCTGATAAATAGTGTTTTTTTTGTTTGTTTGTTTTTTGGGACAGTGTCTCACACTGTTGCCTGGGCTAGAGTGCAGTGGTGTCATCATAGCTCACTGCAACCTCCAACTCCTGGGCACAGGCGATCCTCCTGCCTCAGCCTCCCAGGTATCTGGGAATACATGTGCTTGCCACCACGCCTGGCTAATTTTTCTAATTTTAGTAGAGACGGGTCTCACTCTTGGTCAGGCTGGTCTTGGACTCCTGGCCTCGAGCAATCCTCGTGCCTCTGCTTCCCAGAGTGGCAGGATTACAGGCGTGAGCCACTTCGCTCAGCCTGATAGTTTTTAAAGCTTGTGCAAATAAGGGCCAGACCTTCTGACAGTTGTTTTGTCTCTTACGTCTCTTTTTATCCATATATTCTCCCTCTCTTTTTCTTAACTATGCAACTTACTTGTTGAGGTCACCAGCTGTTGTCCTATAGAGGTTCCCTCAGGCTCTTATTTAGCATGTTCCCCTGGCCCCTAAATTTCCTGGAAATTGGTAGTCAGACCTAGAGGTTGGATGAGCGTCAGGTGGATTTTTTGGCAAGGCTACACCCCATGTGGTGTGTACTGCCATCAGCAGGCATGTGCAGCCTGGGGTCTCTCTTTTTGGGATGCCGGTGATCCAGGAGCACCACCTAGTGCAGCACAATCCAACAGAAACATTACAGAACTTGAGCCACAACTGAGGACCACGTTGGTAATTGTAAATTTTCTAGTAGCTATGTTTTTTTAAAAAAGTTAAAAGAAATGGGTGAGGCACGGTGAGGTAGCTTACGGCTGTAATCCTAGCACTCTGGGAGGCCAAGGCAGGAGGATCACTTGAGCTCAGGAGTTCAAGACCAGCTAGAGCAAGAGTGAGACCCCGTCTCTACTAAAAATAGAAAAATTAGCCGAGCGTCATGGCGCGTGCCTGCAGTCCCAGCTGCTGGGGAGGCTGAGGCAGGAGGATTGCTTGAGCCCAGGAGTTTGAGGTTGCTGTGAGCTAGGCTGACGCCACGGCACTCTAGCCCGGGCAACAAAGTGAGAGTCTGTCAAATAAATAAATAAAATAAATGGGTGAAAATAATTTTAATATGTTATTTAACCCAATATATCCAAAGATTATCATTTGAACATATAATCCATATAAAGATCAGCAACGAGAAATTTTACATTTGTTTTTTCATGGCAATATTCTTTCTCATTCTTCTTTCATTTATTAGCAGGAATATTTCTGTAAGGAGAAACTTCCCTTCATCAACAATTTAGATGCCCCGAGAAACAGCTCATAGAGGAAACACAGCATCAGTGCTTGATTCTTTCATGTATCAGTATTTCAAAATAACAAGCAGGTTCCCTCCCCCCAGGCGTGTCACGTGCTGCATTCTGTCATCTATACAACAAATTACCCCAACTGTAGCAGCTTACGCCAAAGGCCCTTGTGCTGGATCTCGTGGTTTTGTAGGTCAAGAATCGGGGCAGGGCTCAGCTGGGCAGTTCTGCTGCTCCTAGTGTGTTGACTGAGGTCACTCGGTGATTTTCAGCCAGCAGATGGGCTGGTCTGGGGGTCCGAGAAGGCTTCATTCACATGTCTGGCACCTTGGCGAGCATGACTAGAAGGCTGGGCGCAGCTGCAACTGCCATGCACAGTGCCTACCCATGGTCACGGCAGCACGACAGCCTCAGGATGGTCACCTCACAGGACAGCTCAGGGCTTCTGTGTGTTTCCAATAGAGGAAGTGGAAGCTGCTAGTTTCTTAAGGCCTGGGCTGACACACGTAATTTTTACTATATTCCATAGGTCAAACCAGTCAAAAACCCTCCCCAAATTCATGAGGAGGGGACAAAGACGCCACCTTCGGAGGGGAGTGGTGTCAAAAACTGTAGCCATCTTTAATCTGCCACAAATCGGGTAGGCAGCTTTTGGAGGATTTTTGGTTTTGTATTTGCATGAACTCATAAATTCAAACATATATGATGAGTTTCAATCTGTTGCAGTTATTCTTACTGACGCTCAAATTGATCCTGTTTTGGGCAAAAGGAGCTCTTCAAGTTGTCGCCTTAGTCCTATTAATGTGACTCCAGTAGTTGTCAATAACGTCCTTACTTTTAGGTACAATAAGCTGTTCCAAGGTCACCTTGCACATTTCCTCCTTATGCCTGGAATTGGTCATTTCTCCAAGATGCCCTTTATAATACTGAAACATTTGCCTACTCTGTAGATTGATTATAAAAATGGCCCCAACTCCCCGCCCGTCTTATTTCCATGTCCCTTGTAATTTCTGCAGCAACTCCCATCTGAAGGTAAAGTCTATACATTTCCTCACCCCTTGAATCTGGGCTGACCTTATGCCTTGCTTTGGGCAAAAATAATGTGGCAGAAGTGATAGTGTGCTGATGCTGAGACTAGGCCTCAAAGGGCCTGAGAGCCTTCACTCTCCCTCTTGGACCCCGCCCCAACCATGAGGACAAGCCCAGGCTGGCCGGCTGGAGGGACGTGAGAGATAAGTTAAACAGTCCTTGTTGCCCTAGACGAGGGCATCTCAGAGCAGCCAAGCCCCAGATGGCCACCAGTGGACAGCAGGCGCATGAGTGAGTCCAGACAAGATCAGCTGAGCCCTGCCATACTATGAGAACCACCCAGCCAAACCCATGACCTCATCGACATAAAAAATGGTTGTCGTAAGCCCTGAAGTCTTGTAGCATTTGTTACGCCGCATTAATCTGGCAATAGATGACTAATCCTCCCACTCTCGCACAGTCATTGTTTTCATGTTTCACGTTCCTTCTACTTCCTGCCCATATGCCAGCTATTTTTGCAGTTGTTAATGGAATACAAATACAATTTCATGACATGTTTTTCTTCTTACTTACTGTTACACAATTTTCCAAATTGCGCTATAATTGTTGTAATTATTTTTATGGCTGCACCATAATCTACTCAGTTAATGTACTTAACCTTTCTCATACTGTTTAACATTTAGTTGTTCACAATATTTTATCCTAACCAATTTTTAAAAACCTGACAGTACACTTAATGCTTAGAACAGGAGCTCTTAAGATATCAAATAGCCAAAGCTATTATACCATTTAGCTTTTTTCTTCTCTCTCATTATCTCTCTTTTGTTATTATTGTTAAGAATAGTTCCAAAATGCTTCTCATCTGGCATGAAGAAGGGAGGCACTGGGTCCCTGCCCAGGCAGTGGTTACCTGCTAAGAGTCTGCCAAAAGAACTTAGCACTGGCTGAGCCCATGGCACAGAGCTACGGGCTACAAGTCATCTCAAATACTGTCTCATTCAGCCTTTTCTTTCAGAGCACCTATAAAACAGGACCTGGATCAATTACTGCATTTTACCTGGGAGAGGTAACAATGCAAACTAGATGCCAAAGCATACGCAGGTGCTGAATGACTATGAATGCTCTACCTGCACTCCATGCTTCTGACGACAAACTAAGTTGTGGTTTAAAACAGAGGTGACTTAACTGTCATTAGGGGCAAAGTAAGGGCCATCCTGTGCTCACTCGTGGAGAGAGACGCTGGGTGCCAGTGTACTGTGTGCCCGGGCCCATGCCAGGCTCTGGAGACGCTGAAATAAGCCAGGCAAGGCCCTCACTCTCAAGGATTCTCAGTATAATGTGAAGAGGGGACGGGTGGGAGATCATAGCACACAGCGTCTGCTGCCACAGCAACTAATAATGCCACCTGGGAGCCTGAGAGGCGGGGGTGACTCCCAGAGCAGGCAGCCCTCGCACTGGTGCATAAAGGATAGTGACAGCACTCACTTATAGAGCACCTACTATGTGCCAGGCACGCAGAGAAGCCAAGACATGAACTGAGGTAGGCTCTGGCTCCACAGTCTGGGCTTCTAACCCTGGATGCACTGTCTCTGATGATGGGGTGGGGTTTGCCGTGTGTGTGTGTGTGTGTGTGTGTGTGTGTGTGTGTGTGTGTGTGTGTGTTGGGATGGGGCAGGCAGAAGTACACCATGTACAAAGGCATGCCTTGGTAGGTAAACAAAGAAAGACACACGGGCTGGGTGTAGTGGCTCACGCCTGTAATCCTAGCACTCTGGGAGGCCAAGATGGGAAGACTGCTTGAGGCCAGGAGTTTAAGACCAGCCTAAGCAACATAAGGAGTCCCTGTTTCTACGAAAAATAGAAAAATTGGCCGGGTGTGGTTGCACACGCTTGTAGTCTCAGCTACTTGGGAGGCTGAGGCAGGAGGATCGCTTGAGCCCAGGAATTTGAGGTTACAGTGAGCCATGATGATGCTACTGCACTGCAGCCCAGGCAACAGAGTGAGACCCTATCTCAAGAACAAAAACAAAAAGATGTGCATCCTCATGCATTGGGGGCGGGGTGGGGGAGAAGGGAAGTGGCTGGGAGAGGCCCAGTAACATCTCTCAAGGCAGCAGCCGGGAGCTGTGTAGGGCAAAAAAGCCCCATCAGCCCTAGTATATTCCCTTCCCAGCCCCCAACACCTGAGGAACCACTGTGACGCTCCAGACCTGGAACTACAGAATGCAATGGCCAGATATATACAGCTGCCTGTCCAGGTGTGTGCCCGCCAGAGCGGGGAGGCTCCCGAAGCAGGAAGCCGGTTCAATCGAGGGAGGGAGCAGACCAGGCCCACACCGAGGCCACTGTGGAAGAAGAAAAGAGGAGAGTGGAGGACACAGACCTCAGCCCATGAGGTGGGGAAGAAAGAGAGAGGAGTCCAGGGCACATCTCAAGCTCCCGTCTGGGTACAGCATGCCCAGAGCCGGTGCCAAGCTGCTGTCTTTTCCTAGTCTCACTCTTCCATTGTTGGTATTGTTTGTTATCAGTCCAACTAGCACCCTCTTACACGAGAGGAAAGCAAAAGCAGGCGCCCAGCGCTCTCCCCGCGCGCTCTCCCGTCTCTCCGGGCACTGACTGGAACTCTCGCTCGCTGGAAGGCGGGCGCTGGGGCTCCTATTTCTCACCCAAATTTCCCACAGTGTTAACACACTCAGCTGTGTGGAGACAGCGTGGACTTCCCGTCCCAGGCTGACAGGCAGCGGGTGCGGGCCACCCCACAGTGTGTGGTGCGCTCACGACTCAGGCCGTGCCCCAATGAAAAATGCGCGCTGAGACACAGCATGACGGCATGAAGACACCAACCCCCTACGACACAGTGCTGCACAAGGCACACTCTGTATCCGCCGTAGTAGATTAATAATACTGACGAGTCTGCTTCAGAAAAGCAATAGAGCCCTGCCTTTTATACTTACCAGTAAAAATTCCAATCTTCATTTTCCGTCACTTGGACCCATCCTCTCTTTTCAAAGTTATTGATCAACACTGACTTCTCGATATCAGTGACCCATTTCACTTTTCCTGCCATGATCCTGGAAGAGATTAAGTTGTTACCGCTATGAAACTTCAACATCAACTAACTGCTCCTCAAACCCAAGGAATCTTCTCAACACCACAGGAAACCAGCTTATGTCCCCCAGGCTCAACCTTACCCCAGCAGTGGTTCTCAATCAGAGGCAACTCTGTCCCCCAGGAGACATCTGGCAGTGTCTAGAGATATACTGGTTGTCACAACTGGGGAGGGGGATGCCTCTGGCATCCAGTGTGTAGGGGCCAGGGATGCTGTTCAACTTCTGACAATGCACAGATGGCCCCTCAAAGCAAATTACGCAGCCCCAAATGTCAACTTGTGTCAAGGCTCAGAAATCCTGGTCTAGTGGGAGATAAATGCAGCCGTTAAATAATCACCAAGTGTTCAACTGCAAATGCGCCAAGAACCACCAAGGAGAGGCATGTGGGGCTATGTGAGCTGGGCAGGAGGATGGGCCCTGCTCAGGGCGGGTGGGGAAGGTTGCCCTGAGTGGGGGACCCTTGAGCTGACTTCTGAAGTGTGAATGGGGGTCAACATGCCTGTCCCGATCGGAGTGTTCCTGTGTCCTTCCCCCATCCCCAGGCATGGCCTGTAACTGCAGTGTGACCTTAAGTGTCTATGTGACCACATGCCTCCCACTGAACACCATCCATGGCTCCGCAGTGTCCTTAAATCACACGGACCCTGGCCCTCACCTGCTTCTCCAGGTCCGTCTTGCGCCACCTCCTTCCCCCTGTTCCTGCCACAGTGAACTCCTCTGCCCACCCTCTCCCCAAGCCCAGGGCCTTGCATGTGCTGGGCCCTCTGCCTATAGCACTTTGCCCTTGTTCTCTCCCACTCACCTGCCCACACCAACGAATGTCACTTCCTCCGCAAAGCTTCCCCGCCCCTCCAGACACAGGTGTCTGGCCCCTCAGCACCCCCGCAGTTCTGCAGCTAGCACCTGCTGCCCCAGCTGGAGGCCGGGCACTCCTCCTCACTGCTACATGCCCAGGGCCCAGCTCCATGCCTGGCCGTGGGGGTGCTTGGTTCAGACTGACTGCCATGGTCCCAGGCCTGCCAACAGCACTGTGGGACTCTAAGCTAGTTCCAGGAGGACTCTGGACCTCAGTTGCCTCTGAAAAGTCTGGTTTTCGCACTGCTCGGGCAGCCCAGGACTCTAGGCTCCCACCCCAGCTCTGACCAGAGAAGGCTGTTGGGGGCTGTCCCCCCATGCCACAATCATCCGGGCTGCATGGTTCACACGCTGTACTTAAAAATCTTACTGGGTGGTCTCACGCCACTGATTTCCACCTGGATGATAGCAGAAGGAAGAGTAGTACCTTTAAACAATAAACCAGTACACTTTGTTATGCTTCTATGCACAATTTCTTCAGAAGGGGTTCCATGCAAAACTGGCCTTGAAAGCCAGGGGCCCTAAGAGCTCCGAGGGCCTTTCATGAATGGAGAGGCACCTGCTCCAGGGACTGGCAATAGCTCCACTTCCGGGCAACCTGATAGGGCAGGAAGAGCATGAGATATGGAGATGGGGCCCAGACATGCCTGGCTCTCCCGTGAGCCTGCTCCCTCCTCACCCCCCAGCAAGGCTGGAGTGTCACAGTGTCACAGAGGCAGGACCACGGTAGAGTATGGGCTCCACAGCTTGGGTTTGAGGCCTAGCGCCACCACTCACCAGCCATGTGACTTTGGGCAAGTTACTTAACCTCTCTGAGCCTCTGTTTCGTCTTCTGTAAAGTGGGGATAACAATAGTGTCTACCCATCCCATGGGGCAAGTGCACACAGGTATAGCACCAGTCAGCGCCCAGCACACAGCAAGCACTCAGAAACACTCACCATCACCATCATCATCATCATCATCATCCCCCCTCACGGAGGAAGAAGCCAAGGCGCAAAGGTTAAGAGCCCGTGTAAGGGCCAGACTCAAGGATTCAAACCCAAGGTGATCCTACGCTAAGGTGCCACCTTTTCCACACAGCCGGTCACTCCCTTCTGTGCACCTGGCCTTCAGCAGGATGAGGACCGTGCCTGGGTCACGGGGGCAACACGAGGAATACAAGGAATCGCTCTCTGCAAGCTCCAAGGTGCCACATAAATGACTGTTAAGTGACCGGTCACGATACATGTGTAACTCCAGCACTCCCCGTGCCAAGATGACAGCAAAAGCACGAGAGCTAGATCCGCACGTGGTGTTGACTGACGTCCGAGAACAAGAGCAAATGCCACGCACCTCACACCCCCAGGCGCATCTACGCCGATGGCCGAGGGGATTCCACGCCTTCGCTCCTCGATTTCAGCCTCCACAGCCCCGAGTCCCTCCCTGACCAATCCTGCCCACACTCTGCCCCTGCAGCCTGACTGCCGAACCAGGATCTCGGGGAGACTCACTGCCCCCAGCCTGGAGACCCCACACCCAGCCGCCCGGCTGCACAATTCACACTCGGTGCTTACAATGCAAGTCTCAGTGGGTGACCCCACACCAGACACTGACTTCCGGCTGCGGAAGAAGGAAGAGTAGTAACTTGAAGCCATAAAGGCAGCAGGTGATACTCACGTGTCACTTTACGCGTCCTAAACACTTCCAGGCGTGTGACCCCAAAACCAGACAAGGCACATGGGGCAAATATTCTCAGCCTCATTCACTGAGCAGGAAGTGGAGGCTCCAAGGAGGCAAGTGCCTCAGTTGGACTGTGAGGTGTTCTTCCGGGCCCCATCCCTCCCTTCCGTCGTGTGGACAAATGGTCACTGACGGGCCAGTCTCAGGCTGTATCTACCACAGGCACTTGTGGAGCGGCCACGGGCAACGCCCAAATTCTCTTTGGCTCCACTGACCCTGACCTCTGGTTCTCACCTAAAACAAAGTTAGTGCCCAGACAAAACGTATACAGCACAAAAATCGAGACACTCTTTAAGAATTTTATGAATGCTGAGGCAAACCCATGACTAGCCAGAATATTCAGTGTATGGCATCCCCAAAGATGCTCTTAGAGTCTTCCCTTGTTGTGATAAATATTTCTGAATCACGTCACTTACTGGCTCCAGCTGACCTTTTCCAGCTGTCATTCCACCCCACTGCACGCTCCCCTTCTCGTAGGGCTTCAGCTGAACTCAAGCCCTTCCTGTGTTCCACGCACCTGCCCGCTAGCCTGTGCTGGCTCTGTCCCTTAATCTGCAAAGGCACCTCTCTACTTTCTCTCCTCCAACTCCCACCAGCCACTCCCGGGGGAGCCATTCTCAGCTGTCAGCTGGAGGTAAGCTGCCCTCTCAGACCCTCTGTCTCCTCTCTGCACTCAGAACCGCCTACCTTGAATTTTAGTTCTTAACATAACTTGTGTCTATAAATGCAGGAGGGCGGGATGCTCTTAGTCACCTGTTTCCCACTCATTCCACTGTTTCTTTCTAGATTGAAGAGCGGGCATTTGCATCAAAGCTCACAGTCCATCTTGTCCGGCCCTAATATCTCCAGCACCAATTCCACTGGGACACACAATAAGCATTCACAGGACAAGGGCACGAGTGCATCTGGGTCAGTCCTTTGAATCTGATTCTTTGCTTTCAATAGCTGCTCCCCTGGAGACGTATTATGGGTTGAACTGTGTCCCCCTCAAAAATATGGTGAAGTCCTAACCCTGGTAGCTGTAAACGTGACCTTATCTGGAAGTAGAGTCTTTGCACATATAATCAAGTTAAGATGATGTCACGACAGAAGTCCTCACGAGAAGAGGTGAATCTGGACACACATACACACAGGCAGAGAACGCCACGTGAAGACACAGAGACACAGAGACACAGACACAGAGGTAAGATGGCCACGTGAAGACGGAGGCAGAGACTGCAGTTATGCTTCCATGAGCACAAAACGCCTGGGGCCACCAGAGGGTAGAAGAAGCAAAAAGGATCTCCCTGAGATTCTTCAGAGTGAGCACGGCCCTGCCAGCACCTCCACTTCAGACTTTTGGCCTCACCAAGCCACCGAGCTTGTGGTGCTCTGTTACAGCAGCCCTGGGAAGTTATTGCAAGATGTAACCCTCCAAGGCACTAGGGAGAAAAGAAGGAAGAAAAATTTATGCCCATAAAGAGTTTTAAATATATATATAGGAGACCGGGCACGGTCAAGTGACGGGCAAAAAGGCAAGACAGCCATTTATGGTTTAAAAGAAAAGACAGGAAGAAATGAACTAAGGCTGCCTCTCCTTTAAAGAGACACAGGGCCTCTTTTTATTGATAGAAATGCTCCAAATTAGCATAGAAACTACCACCTAGAATCAATGACAAGGGAGCCTTGGGAAGAGCCGAAGGAGGGAACAGTGGCTACAGCCATACCTGCAGCTTGAAGATCTGATGCAGTTCCAGCACCGACCATGGCTGAGCCACAGACAGTGACACTTCAGAGCCTCTGTGTCGCCATGCAAAAAGACGGGAATGAAAGCACCAGCTCCTTCCCAGGACTGCTGGGATGACTGCAAGGTAATGCAGGTGTGGACGAGGCACACAGCACCTACTCCAAAAGTTACCTGGGTTTGAAACAAGAACATCCAGCAAAGAGAGCTTTACCTTGAAGCTTTCCATGATCTGACTCTGCACACTCCTTCTGTTCCAACGACTACCTACAGTGGGCCTGGCAGGCCCCGGGCTGCTGCTGGAACTCACAGAGTAAGGAATGACATATTTATATTACTGCTACTAACGGCAGCTACCGCTTCTTAAGCACCAGGATGCGTCAGGCACTGGGTTGGGCAGTTTATGTATATTCTTCTCCACTATGTATGTTACTACAGCTCATGTGACGCCACACGCAGGTATTCTCATTTATTTTTTTATTCTTTGTTTATTCTCCCCATTTTACAGATGAGGAAAATGGGGCTCCAGAGAGTAAAAGGCAGAGACCACAACCTGTCCACAACCCACACCGCCTCCATCCCGCACCACGTGGCAACTGTTGGTTCACAGGTGCCTCCCGTGAGGGGCTGCACCTCCTACAGGGCAGGGGAGTGGGCTG